GACAATTCGAGCCCTCGGCCCCGAGGGGCCCCCAGGAGGCGCCACGAGGCCCCCAAGAGGCCCAACAAGAGGCCCAGAGGTCCCGAAAGAGGCCCCCAAGAGGCCCCGAAAGAGGCCCAGCAAGCGGCCCCACAAGAGGCCCCCAGGAGCCCCCCAGAGGCCCGAAGAGGCCCACGATGCCCCCCCAGAGGCCCGAAGGGGCACCCAAGGGGCCCCCCGAGAGGCCACCAGGACGCCCCCACAAACTGCCCCCAAGATACCCCCGAGAGCGCTCCGAAGAGACCCCAAGAGGCATCCCTGGGAACTCGGACCCACAACCAAGGCTCGTTGGCGGGATGGGCCGAACGCCATCGGACACCTATGCGACCACCCTTCGGGCGAGAAGGAGGTTGGGGGATGGGAAAGAACCGCCTGCTGGCAACTGCTGAAGATTACGATGCTGGTGGGGCGCCCTCGGGTTGGCGACGACGCGTGATGACGATGACCGCAGTGGCAGCGTTAGTGATCGCATTGACCGCGGTGGTTGCAGTGCGATGAGTGGTCGCTGGGACTGGAACCAAGAGAGCCCACTGAACCGATTCCAAAGCCGGTCTCAGTACCGATCTCCCATGATCGATCTCACGATCGATCTCACGATCGATCTCACTATCGATCTCACTCAACAGATCTCGCAGTCGATCTCACAACCGATGTCACCTCGCTCGTAGTACAGATCTCACTCTCACTCGACCGATCTCGATATCGATTTCACATTCGATCTCTGAAACGATCTCAACCGATCTCACAATCGATCTCACAATCGATCTCACAATCGATCCCGCTATCGATCGCACTGTCGATCTCGCAATTGATCGCACTATCGACCTCACTATCGAGTACACTACCGATGCAACTATCGATATAACTATCGATCTCACTGCCGCTCGCACGATCGATGCAACCGATCTCACTATCGACCTCACTATCGATCCAACTATCGATCTCACTACCAATCTCACCACATCTCGGTCGTTATCGACCTCACTATCGATCTGATCATCGATCGGGACACCATAGGGACATCACAGCGGGACACCGCGGGACACTGCGGGACACCACGGTACCTTGCAGGACACCAATGGGACACCGCCCGACACCACGGGACACCACGAGGCACCACGAGACACCATCGGGACACCACGGCGGGACACCGCGGGACACCATCGGGACAACGCAAAACACCTCGGTGGGACGCCCCCAGCCACCGCGCGCTCACCGGAGGACCCGATTTTTACATCCGAATCGCCCTAACCACGGGGGGATCATCCCTCTGGCGCGCCCGCGGCGAGACACCGCGGGACACCATCGGGACACCGCGAAACACCACGGCGGGACACCCCCAGCCACCTCGCGCCCACGGGAAGGCCGGACTTTTGCATCCGAATCGCCATAGAGACGGCGGGGTCGTTCCTCTCGCACGCCCGCGCAATTTCGCCTCGCCCGCACGCGCGACACGAACACGAAACCGAAACAGATTTCCCGGTGGGGGGCTCTCCGTTCCACTGCGACGATAGAGGGAAACAATTAGCAGACACTCCCCGGTAGAGGGAAACAATTCGTGGACACTTCCCCGCCCCCCAGAACTCAAAGTTGGCACGCGCGGGGAAGACTGCGGCCGAAGTGCAACTCCTCCAACCCACCGCCAACATTGATCATTTTCGGGGGGGCATTGACGCATGACTGTGGCTCAGGTGCTCGCGAAAAATTTCTCCCAGGGCCTCAATCTCACCCCCCCACCTTCGATGATATGTTTCCGAGGAGGGGGAGGAGGAGGAGGAGGAGGAGGAGGAGGAGGAGGAGGAGGAGGAGGAGGAGGAGGAGGAGAAGAGGAGGAGGAGGAGGAGGAGGAGGAGGAGGAGGAGGAGGAGGAGGAGGAGAAGAAGGGAGGAGGAGGAGGAGGCGAGGAGGAGGAGGAGGAGGAGGAGGGGAGGAGGAGGAGGAGGAGGAGGAGAGGAGGAGGAGGAGGAGGAGGAGGAGGAGGAGGCGGAGAGGAGAGGGGGAGGGAGGGAGGAGGAGGAGGAGGAGGAGGAGGAGGAGGAGGAGGAGGAGGAGGAGAAGAAGGGAGGAGGAGGAGAAGAAGGGAGGAGGAGGAGGAGAAGGAGGAGGAGGAGGAGGAGGAGGAGGAGGAGGGGGAGGAGGAGGAGGAGTAGGAGTAGGAGGGAGGAGGAGGAGGCGGAGGAGGAGGGGGAGGTTGTCGGAGTCGCTGCCTCCCCCCGATGGTGCTGTGATGGAGCCGCTGCCGCCCCGGGACCCGTGGGGCGCCACGACCCGTGGGAGCCAGACTGAAGGGGCCCTGGGACACACAAACAAGTGGCACGTGTGCCATGGCTCTTGCACAAAAAGGAAGGGGGAGGAGGAGGAGGAGGAGGAGGTGGAGGAGGAGGGGGAAAGAGGGGGCAAGACATCGCCCCTCGGGGCCCAGCAACGGGGCCCAAATCCCAGGTGGGGAGAGGGGGGGAGGTGGCGTGCGTCGCGACGCGGAATCAAGTGCTCGGAGAGCTGGGGGCACGGAGAGGAGGGGGGGGAAGGTGGTGTGCGATCGCGACGCGGAATAAAAAGGTCGGGGCGGAGGGGGCATTGGGCGGGGCTTGGGGCAGAGGGCCACGGGGCGGGGGTCCAACTGGGGCGCTGGGGACGGGGGGGGAGGTGGTGTGCGTCGCGACGCGGAATAAAAGTGTCGGGGCGGAGGGGGCACGGGGCGGAGCCCCCACTGGGGCGCTGGGGACGCGGGGAGGGAGGTGGGGGAGGTGGGGGAGGTGGTGTGCGTCGCGACGCGGAATAAAACGTTCGTGGCGGAGGGAGCAGTTGGCGGGGCTCCCGCTGGGGCGCTGGGGACGCGGGGGGGCTCGGGGCAGAGAGCCACGGCGCGGGGGTCCCACTCTGGCGCTGGGGACGCGGGGGGAAGGGTGCGACGCGGAATAAAACGTTCGTGGTGGCGGAGGGGGCAGTGGGCGGGGCCCCCGCTGGGGCGCTGGGGACGCGGGGGGGCTCGGGGCAGAGAGCCACGGCGCGGGGGTCCCACTCTGGCGCTGGGGACGCGGGACGGGGGGGGATGTGCGACGAGGAATACGTTCGTGGACGAGGGGGCGGTGGGCGGGGCTCCCGCCGGGGCGCTGGGGCGGGGGAGCTCGGGGCAGAGAGCCACGGCGCGGGGGTCCCACTCTGGCGCTGGAGACGCGGGGGGGGGGGGGTGCGACGCGGAATAAAATGGTCGGAGCTCTAGACACCCTGTGCAAGAGGATAAGTACATACAAATAACAAGAGTCCCCCTATTTTCCCATATTTTCTGGGTTGTTGTCCTCCCCCCCACTTCCCACATTTTCCCATACTTTCTGCGGAACCGACGATTCATTGTGTCTGTGTGTTTTCTTCCCTCCCGACAGACGACCCTCCGGAGCACCCCCGGGGCGGGCGCGCACGACGTGCCGACCGCGCCTCCTCGAACCAGCAATATGTCGGGCCTGTCCCCCTGCAGGAGGATTTTCGACGAAAAATGAAAACATACCCCAAAAATGCACCAAAAAGGCAACAAACATACTCAAAAAATAGCCCCCGGACTATTCTTGGACTATTTTTGGATTATGTTTGGGGTATCTTTTATCTTCCGCCGAAAATCCCCCTGTATGGGGGACAGGCCCGACTTAACCCGAGCAGTCCCGGGGCGGGCGCGCACGACGTGCCGACCGCGCCTCCTCGAGCCAGCACTTCCGATCTCACGGTCCACGCCACGAGCCGCTCCCCGCCCCGCCCCCCCCCCCGACGGCATCCCGCAGAGGCTGCACATGGCGGGCTCCGGAAAGCCTGAACCCCCTAGACATGGAAGTCCCCTGGGGGGGGGGGGGGGCTGGTTCTGCTTTTAAGTCGGGCCCGTCCCCCTGCAGGGGGATTTCCGACGAAAAATAAAGGATACCCCGAACATAATCCAAGAATGGTAAAAAATAGTCTGGGGACTATTTTTGGAGTATTTTGGGTTATCTTCGTAGTAATTTTCGTCGAAAATCCCCCTGTAGGGGGACACGCCCGACTTAATTCTACTTCCGCCAGCTTCCGCGGCCCTTCTGCCGCCTTGCGGAAGCGGCCTCGTTTGACTTCCGCAGGCCTCCTCCGCCCTTCCGCCGACTTCCGGCGCGGGAGAGATGCCGACACGTTCGGCCCTCGTCTGCAGCGCACCACATGTACGCCGGCCTGCCATTCCCCTTCCAGGCACCAGCCGCGGGGCGTCGGCCAGCAAGGGCCGAATGCGGTCTTGATGGGAAGACATAGGGCACCATCGCACAGGCACCGACCATAGCGCGGATGGAGCACGGCCGACGACTGCGGCCTGGAGAGGCAAACAGTTCACATGCCACCAGCCGAAGAGGGCACCGACCGGGAACGGCCAACTGCGTCACCTATGAGCAACGAGGACAACATCTTACCTGTAGAGACCTTTCGCAGTGGCTTTCGCGGGCCGCCAGCGCTGCACACTTCATTGGAAACGAGGGCGCTCACGCGCGACATGATGCGGCTAACTCACGCGCCAGCGTGGGTGAAGACGACCCACGTATCCTGCGTCGCTCGAATGGGGTAACCAAACAAACCGATACCGCTCCGCTACTCCCCGGGCCTCTCCTGGGGAACATTCTGACCGGAATCTCGAGGCGAACCCAGCCGTGGAGACGAGGGCCTCCCGGGAGGTTCAAGAGGGCGAAGCCGACTAGAAGGTAGCGGTGTCTGTACCTTTTCCCCTTCTGGGCAGACGGTCATCCGTATGGTACAAGCGCAGAAGCGCATAGGGCACCTGCTATATGTATGTATATCTCTCTATATATATATATATATATATATATATAGCAACGACCAGGAACAGCCGACTGCACATACATAGGCACAACTTCCAGGATTCCCGTGTGTTTTTTGGGGGGGTATTTCTTGATTCTCACCAGCCAAGACCGGCCGACGGCTGAACAGAAGGCTCACCGTGGGGCACCAGCACGCAAGGCGCCAACAACAGGGTACCAACGGGGACCTGCCGAATGCGACAGAGCGGGCTACTTCCGCAGAGCGGGCTACTTCCGCCGAATGCAGGTGAGAGCCCCTACGTACAAGCTCTGTCTGGGAAGTAAGCTTTCGAAGGCCCGCGCGGACTTCTTGAACACCGCTCCCTTTAGCCCTTCGCCTTGCGCGCGGAGCGCGCCAAGAATGACGTCAGATGAGCCGCCAAGTGCTGTTTGCACCGCTGTCCAACGTCGGCCGGGCCCAAAAAATCCGAGCGGACCTCCGACCGTGTACGTTTATGTGCAGTTGCTTGCGTCTCCCAATCGTACTCCAGGCCCCTGGCAAACCAGTCCTGGGCCTCCTGGAGCTTGTCCACGCGGACGAACGCGTAACCGAGAGCGTTGATCCCGTGGGGAACTGCCGTGTTCCGTTTCAGACCATGCTCCAACAGCGGTATCGCTTCCTCGAAGTGTCTTCCTGCAACCAATGCGAAGCCGTAATCAATGTAGAACATATAAAGGTTGAAGGGCGCGAAGCCAACAAAATGCCCAGCCTGGATCTTCTGAAACCGTTGGATCGCGTCGTCATATCTACCAGTCTCAATGAACACCTGAGCAATGACATGGTCCGTGAGCGCGTTGTCGTCTAGAACAGCGAGCGACGCGTTATCCGCCACGGCGCCCCCCTGGCACGTTGGGGCGTGGTAGAATACCCGGTGCTGCCTGGCGGACAGGACTGCCCATTGAGAAGAAAAACAAATACACAAACATAAACGTTTGGCGCTCCGCGCGAATTTCTTGAGTCCGCGCTGGGCCCCCCTCCCTGGCGCGCGGAGCGCGGCAGGGGGCGGCGCCGGGGGCGCCGCTGGGGGGGCCCAGCGCGGGTCCAAGAAACCCGCGCGGAGCGCCAAAAGTTTATGTTTCTGTGGATTTGTCTTCTTCCTCGCTCTCCAGGACGGTCCTCAGGACCCTTGGGCGTCCCCGGTGCCTCGGGGAGGCCGCTTAGGGGTCCTCTTGGGGGTGTGCTGGGCGTCTCTTGAGGCCGCTTTGGGCCTACCTTGGGGCCATCCTGGGGCCCCTTGGGGCCTCTTGGGGCGCCTCTTGGGGCTGCGTGCGTGCCGCGCGCGCGCCGCGGAGGAGGAGGAGGGAGAAGGAGAGAGGAGGAGGAGGAGGAGGAGGAGGAGGAGGAGGAGGAGGAGGAGGGAGGAGGAGGAGGAGGGAGGAGGAGGGGGAGGAGGAGGAGGAAGGAGGAGGAGAGGAGGAGGAGGAGGGAGGAGGAGCAGGAGGGGGAGGGTGGAGGACGTGCCTGGAGGGCGGTCGGCCCACCTCTCGCCCGCGGGCCTCTGGGGGCCGTGTGCCCGTCGAGAGTCCCAGGCGCTGGGCCCCGCGTGCCCGCCTGCTTTCCCGGTGCTCGGCTCCAGCGCTGCAGTCTGGATGTGCACTCGGCGGAGGAGGAGGAGGAGGAGGAGGAGGAGGGAGGAGGGGGAGGAGGAGGAGGAGGAAGGGGGGTGGAGGAGGAGGAGGTTCGGAGGAGAGGAGGAGGAGGAGGAGGAGGAGGAGGAGGAGGAGGAGGAGGAGGAGGAGGAGGAGGAGGGAGGAGGGAGGAGGAGGAGGAGGAGGAGAGGGGAGGAGGAGGAGGAGGAGGAGAAGGAGGAGGAGGAGGAGGAGGAGGAGGAGGAGGAAGCGGAGGAGGAGGAGGAGGAGGAGGAGGAGGAGGGAGGAGGAGGAGGAGGAGGAGGAGGAGGAGGAGGAGGAGGAGGACGTGCATCCGAGGCTCCCCCGAGCGGCCCACCGCCTCCCTCTGGGGTGCCCCCCTTAGCTTCCCGGGGATGGCTGGCTGGGCGAAGGGCTGCCCCGCGAGCGACCAAGAAGCCCCAAAGAAGCTCCGAGGGGCTTCTCAGACACCCCCCACGCCCCAGGAGGGCCTCGGGAGGCCACAACAACGTTGCCCGAACCAGCGTTTGCAGAAGAAGACATCTTACTTTCTTCCCTGAAGCCTTGGGCGGATGCGTCGGGGGGTCGCCCCATGGGCGCCCGTTGGCGTTTCGTGCGTGTGTGTGTGTGATTGTGTGTGTGTGTGCCCGTGCGTATGGACGTGCGTGCGGACGCATGTACGTGTGTGTACCCGTTGTCTATGTTTGTGTGTTGTGTGTGTGTGCTGTGTGTGTTGTGTGTGTGTTGTTTGTGTGTGTGTGTTGCGTTGTGTTGTGTTGTGTTGTGTTGTGTCGTGTCGTGTCGTGTCGTGTTGTGTTGTGTTGTGTTGTGTTGTGATGTGCTGTGCTGTGCTGTGCTGTGCTGTGCTGTGCTGTGCTGTGTTGCGTGCGTGCGTGCGTGCGTGCGTGCGTGTGTGTGTGTGTGTGTGTGTGTGTGTGTGTGTGTGTGTGTGTGTGTGCGTGGTGCGTGCGTGCGTGCGTGCGTGCGTGCGTGCGTGCGTGCGTGCGTGCGTGCGTGCGTGCGTGCGTGCGTGCGTGTGTGGTGTGTGTTTGTGTGTCTGTGTGTGTTTGTGTGTGTGTGTGTGTGTGTGTGTGTGTGTGATGTGTGTGTGTGGTGTGTGTGTGTGTGTGTGTGTGTGTGTGTGTGTGTGTGCGTGGGTGTGGGGTGTGGGTGTGGGTGTGGGTGAGGTGTGTGTGTGTGTGTGTGGAGGGTGGGGGTGGGGGTGGGTGGTGGTGGGTGGGGTGGGTGGGTGGGTGGGTGGGGTGGGTGGGGATGTGGGTGGGTGGGTTTTGATGTGGGTGTGGGTGTGGGCAAGGGTGTGGGTGTGGGTGTGGGTGTGAGTGTGGGCGCGGGTGGGTGGGTGGGTGGGCGTGTGTGTGTGTGTGTGTGGGTGGGTGGTGGATGGGTGCGCGCGAATCTCCTTCGGTTTGCGTGTACCGCGCCCGCCATCCATGCTCGGGTGGCGGATGCTAATAGGACTGCGCCCTAAGCGATGTTTGAGGGCCCGCCCGCTGCGCATTGCTCACGCTTTCCCCGCCTCGTCGAAGCGCGCGAGGCAGCTGCCGTCATAATCATATAGTAATGTGCGTGCGTGGTCGACGCCGACGCCGACGCCGACGCCGACGCCGACGACGACGCCCTGCACCTACCCCCCGCTGCGACCGCTTCTGCTGCGGCAGCGCCCTCCCGTGCGGCGCCTCGCCTTGTCTCTCACCACAGAATGGTGCACCTGTTGAGTGCTATCCCGTACCTTCATGCGGCTTGCTGCATCGCCTGCCGCTGCTCAGCGCACTTCTCGGCGCTGCCCCCCTGCACCCACCCGTGCATCTACCTGGTGTGGCGCTTCGCTTGCCGCCCTGCCCCTGCTCTCTGCGTGACGCGGGTCGGCTCCGGGTCAACCGCCCCGCGCGCCCACGCCCTGCCTGTGGGGTGCCCCGGCGCTGGCCCCTGGCGAGCTGGTCTTGCCGTTCGCCCCCCAGCGACCGCCGCGCCGCTTCCCCTTCTGCGTTCGCGCCTTCGCCCCGGCCGCGGGTCGCGGCCCCGGCCCTGCCCGCCCTCACTCCCCTCTGGGGGGGGGGCCCTGCCAGCCCCTGCATTCCCAGCCCTGTGCAGGTTGGATCGCTGGCCTACTTCAAAGTTTTCGCCTGGGTCTACGCCCGCTGCTTCCTCCCCGCGCCTCCCCCGCACCGCGGTGGTTCGCTCCCGCGCCGCTTCGCGTGCCTGGTGCTCAGGCCGGGCCTTTGCCTGGGGCCCGTTGGGTGCCTGGCAGGCCACCCGCGGCCTCGGCACCCGCCGCCCCTCTTTGCCTGGCTTTCAGGCCAGCCCCTCTGTCGGATTCGCTCCACCAGCGTTGTCGGGCGGCGGGCTCCGTCTCTGCTGCCCGCACGTCTTCTCGTGCCCTCTCGGCGCCCCCGCCTCGGAATTTTCGGTGGGTCGTCGCTCCCCAGGTCGCTTCGCAGGTCATCCGGATCTCGGCACCTTGGACGACCCTCGCCTCCCCCGCTCCGCCCTGCTGGGCGCTCCCAGTGCCCCTGACCCCTCACCTGAGGTGGTCCACTCCAGCTGCCGCTGTGGGTTGCCTTGAGGTCACTCGGATCTCGGCACCACGGCCGCCTGGCTGCGCTGCCTCCACCTCCAGCTTGCGCTGGACCTGCTTTGCCCCCCCCCCACCTTTGGGCGCGTGCCAAGCTGCCTTCCGGCTGCCGTCCTCCAGCTGCTGCCTCGTCGCCGCCGCTGGCTCCCCGCCTTGGCGCCTGCCCCGCCGCCTGCTCCGCCGCCGCCCGGCCCTGCTCTGAGCGGGCCCTCTCCCTCCCACCCGCGCCGGGCTTCCTTTCTCTCCCTCCCGCGCGCTGCGCCTTAATTCGCGTTTTGTGTGTCCCACTAATGCTACATCGCCGGAGCAGTCCCTCTGCCCAGCCGCTGACGCAAACGTGTGTGTGTGTGTGTGTGTGCGTGTGTGTGTGTCTGTTTGTGTGTGTGCGCGTGTGTTCGCGCGCGCGCGCGCGCGCGCGTGTGTGTGTGTGTGTGTGTGTGTGTGTGTGTGTGTGTGTGTGTGTGTGTGTGTGTGTGTGTGTGTGTGTTGTGTGTGCGTGCGTGTGCGTGCGTGCGTGCGTGCGTGCGTGTGTGTGTGCGTGCGTGCGTCTGTGCGTGCGTGCGTGCGTGGTGCGTGTGTGCGTGCGTGCGTCTGTGCATGCGTGCGTGCGTGCGTGCGTGCGTGCGTGCATGCGTGAATGCGTGCATGCGTTCGTGCGCGCGTGCGTGCGTGCGTGCGTGCGTGCGTGCGTGCGTGCGTGTGCGTTGTGTGTATGTGTGTGTGTGTGTGCGGGTGTGTGTGTGTGTGTGTGTGTGTGTGTGTGTGTGTGTGTGCGTGCGTGCGTGCGTGTGTGCGTGTGTGTGTGTGTGTGTGTGTGTGTGTGTGTCTGTGTGTGTGTGTGTCTGTGTGCGTGTTTGTGTGTGTGTGTGTGTGTGTCTCTGTGTGTGTGTGTGTGTGCGGGCGGGCGGGCGTGTGTGTATGCGCGTGCGTGTCGGAATCCTTCGGCGTGGCCCGCCGTTGGCATCGCGCCCGCCCGCGGCTCGGCCACTTTCACACCTGGCGCCGCTCTTGCGGTGGCCCCCCGCTGCTCCTCCGCCTGCTTCATCCGGCTGCGCGCGCGGCTCTGCCTCTGCGCGAGAACGCCGTCTGCGACAATCGCCACGGTGACCAACGCGGCGGACGCGCCCCGCGTGAGCGACAAGCACGGCGAGGTCAGACGAAGCCACTGTGTCGGCCGCCAACCGCACGAGAGGGGTTCGCGTTGCTCCTCCTCGTGCGTTCCCCCCTCTTCGCTTCCGTCTTCCGTCTTGGTGGGAACATCAGCCGCGTCCGCAGGTGGTCGCACCGCCAGCTCACAAAGAGCGCGGCTCTGCCTCCGTTCCGCTGGCCGCCCTGCGCCGCCCGCTTCTGCGCGCCCCGTTGCGCAGAAGCGCGTCCTCCTGACCTTCTTGCCCGCGGCTTCACAAACAAGAAGCCAACGCTTGGTTAAAATGGTAATTCGTGGCCGTGCTTCCGTCGTTTGGATGCAGCCGCGCGTTGCAACGAAAAAGTGTGTGTGTGTGTGGGTGTGTGTGTGTGTGTGTCGGGGTTTCGGCTGGCGAACGTTGTGCGCTTGGTGGCTGTCGGGTTTCTTCCAGCTGGCGCCTGTGGGCGTTTCGTGGGCGCCTCGTGTGGGTGAGGGCGCCGGGGTTTTCCACTGTGGGCGGTTTCGTGGTTACC